ATTAGACAATGTACAGTATTTATATTAATCTATTTTCTCGAACATTTCATTACGGTATGGGAAGTTCCAGCAATTTGCCCTAAGGCACGATGCCATACACTACTAGTTCATCTATATTTTCAAGTAAAAATGGACATCGCTACTGCACGATGTCAGGTTGTCCTGATCGAATTCGAAATCAGGAGGTCAAACGAGTCCGTAAGCTTAACACTGTACAATATAATCAACATAAAGTCTTTATTATTATGATATTCTAAATAATTTTATGAAAAATAGATGTTGACGTAAAAATTTCATAAAAATCGTTCAAGCCGTTTTCAAGTATTATTACTCATGATACGAGAGTTTTATAACAAATTTGTTGATTATTTTATGTAAAATAAAAAACTAGATGTTTTTTTCTAACGATAGTGAAGTCATTTGTATGCAAAATAGTACATGGATGTGAATTGTGCAATAAGGAAAATTTCTGCAATTTCCCGTTTAATAAACGCATATTACATGAATTTTACACATTCATATAATAATGAATTTCTATAAAAAAATAAGTAATTAATAATTATACTTTGTATGTAAGAAAGATTACCTTTATTATTATTTCTTTATTAACTTCCCGTAAGGTAAGTTATAGTAATGGACCAAAAATAGAAAATGAAAATTTTTGCATATCTTTACGTTTCAAAGGTTTTTGAACATTTTGGCATACCTCAGAAAAAATGGATGTGTGTGTATGTGTGGAGACAATTTTTCGTCGACGATTTTGTGCGTATGGATCAACCGATTTGAAAAATTCAAAAAGCAATCGATTCCTATTTATAGGGAGATGTGCTGATTAGTTTTTCGTAAATACAGATCCAGCGACTTCGGAGAAATGGAGCAAAAAGTGATGAAAGTATCAGGTTTTAAAAGACGGATCAACCGATTTGAATGATCCAAAAAATATTCGATTCGTAATGATGGGTAGAAGTGGTAGATTTTGGCAAAAGCAGGTCCAACCGTTTCGGAAATACAGAGCTATATGTGCAAAAAATAGCAGTTTTTGAGAGAACTAAGCATCCGATTTGAATGATTTAAAAAACTTTGTTTGTGCTGATAAAACGATTGCTTTTGGGGAAAGAATTTTTTTTTTTTTTTTAATTAAAAAAAAAATCTTGAATATAATTCGTATTTTAATTCTAATTCTAACTAAAGTTGTAAACATGACTTGTAATGAATTAGTCCCATATTCGATCTTTAAGCCAGCTTCATATCAAGCAATATGATATCAAATATCCATTTGAGGTTAAAAATCTTAAATATTATATCGAGTAAAAACCACCTTTTGTGGGCATTGCTGCAACACATGTGCGTCAGCATATATTTATAATATATACATATATAATCTACACAATAATGAAAAGACTGGATTGCCTTCTTAAGAAAAATAGTAGGTTATAATGTACCATGAACATGAATTCTTTTTCTGATTTTTTTTAACTAAATATTTATATGGTGAGCAATTTATTTAATTGCATTCGAACATACATTTTTTTTCCGAAAGGAGAAATTTGTTTTTGCGCACAAATCCGATTTTTCAAATTTTATGTTTTTTGGCGTTTCAAGTCATTCTGAATCAAATGAGACCAAATAGAAATAAGAAAAAAGTACGTGTGTATGTGTGTCTGTGTGTCTGTAATTTTGATAAAAGTTTGTATGACGATAGATATCATACTCTGAAATAGCATACTAAAATATTATAGGCCTACGATAAGCGGTTTGTATTATAAAAATTCATCAAAGCTTAGAATTTCGCCCCGCATTCCAGTGATTCTGATCACAATCTATGTGGAGTATGAACATTCTGCGGTGTTTCGTTGGTAGCTACTGATTACAGTCGACGTCTACACTTAAATAAAATATATTTTAGATCGCGAAATGGACAAAATGTATTCTGTTAAACAAATTAATTTAATTTATGCAATTACAGATATCACAAGTATTATATGTTTCAAAGATATCAATTTAAAATAGTTTATTTTTTTTTAATTTCAATATCTGTTACAACTGCTAAATTATGACATCTAGTAACATAAGTGAAAAATAACATAAATATAAATAAAATAAAGTACAAAATAAATGATAGTAAAATAGCTTTCAATGAAAGCGATATCTTTTTTTTCGAAACAGCAAATGAACATTTTACCTAAATAGATGTATTTCAATTTTAATTGATTAAGTTAATGTATCGGGAAGTTAATGCACTTTGGAAAATGGTGTCAAAATGCTACTTACAGCTAGTTATTGATACCGCAATACCGGATCAGGACTATTTTTACTTGGTATCATATTGTTATCTATATTTCCATATATACTACTGCTTGACAAGAGACTGACATTCGAAAATATACATTGATTTATACACACGTACATACATTTATACATTTATACATTTTGCTTACTTATGTATAAAAAACTTCTAAAAATGTAAATTACAAAAATATGAAGAAAATAATTTACAACTCTCAATTTATATATGTCAATAATATTCATTACATCATACTTTGTGTAGGTTTGTCATGAATAATTATGTATAATTCGCAAACATAACTATTAATTATACAAAGTTTCTCTCAAAAGCAATTATTTCAAAAGACGCAAAATAATTCAAATTATGTACATATAGAAAATCATAAACTTGTAACAAAATTTAAGAGAAAGAAAATGATGATTCGTCATGCTTTCATATATGAATAAAAATATGATCAATTGATTTTTCTCTTTTACGACGTACATGCATACATTTCTCGTACAGAAATAAAGTAACAGATTTCAATAAGAATTTATAGTAAAAATAAAATGTTGATTGAAATTAATCAGACTTTAGTATTTTCTATTTACGAAAAATACTTTTATTGAATACATATAATTAACCAGTTTACTGTGATTGACGAATATACTCGTCATGGACAAGTGGCAAAATTGACGAGTATATTCGTCATGCGTATAAAACAGAGATCATATCCTGTATAAATTTAAATAAAAAAAATTTTGCTTTATACATGAAGGCAAGTTGAATGAACCTCTGAAATATGATAATAATATACTTAATCAAAGAGAATTATTATTATCTATTTAAATAACATTTTTAACTACACCCAGGCCTCGCTATACGGCCGCTCTTTGTACGGCCTTTCGCTATAACGGCCCTCTTTAATTAAGGTACGTTTTCGATATACGGCCTAAAATGTTTCGCTATAACGGCTTTTTTTCTCTATGTCGATATATTGCGCAATCTCGGTTTTGAAGATTTAAACGAATCTGATGTGCTGGATCTACTTGCAACTGATAGGGAACCCCTTTCATATGAGGAACTCATTCAGTTGCAAGCAGAGCCGGCAATTGATGAAGATACAGAACCTGTTGTATCCAAACAGCTAACATCAAAAATCATGTCGAGCGCTTTTTCATATTTTGAACAAGGTGTAAACATCTTCCTTGAAAACGATCCTGACATCGAACGTAGCGCTTATGTGTATCGAGGAATTAAATCAGCCATTAACTGTTATAAATCACTAAAGGAAAAAATAGACAAGAAGGCAAAACAAACAAGACAAATTTTTCAACCCACCAGCGCAAAATGATGGTGACAGTGATCTGTAGGTTTTAGTTGTTTCATTTTTATTTGAAAATTATGTAATGTTTTTGAAGTTTTTTATTTTATGTAAAATTTATGTTCTTGTTAGATATGTTTATAATTTAAACAAAATAAAAAAATAAAATGCATTTTGGATGAAACCATATTATATATTTATTAAATTTGGAACCGATCCCATTGAATTTGTATGAATACGTATTAGAATAATTGATTCGTTATACGGCTTTTCGCTTTACGGCCAAGTTTTGCGGAACGTATCTAGCCGTAAAGCGAGGCCCCAGTGTATTTATTTTGAAAATAGTTTTTGCTTTTTATCAAAACTTTTCTTAGTTGCTTACATTTTCATGTATCTTTGAATTTAATACATTTTTACCTTTTCACGTATGTAAAATGTGTTTATGTTAAACAAAGAAGTAAAATGTAGTAATTGCATTTTCCATGATTTCTTTCTAATTTCTTTTATGATTGACGAATATATTCGTCATGAGTTCGATTTGGACGATATAAAACTTTTTATTTTGTAATTTTAGTCGAAATCTTGCCAAAATTTGTTTCTATGTGTGAGGTTCTTATGACTGCCTTAGCATTCAAACTATGAATGCTCCTAATTTAAATTTCGGTTAAAATTATCCAAAAATTATTGTTTTTGGTCGAAATTTATTTATATTTAAAAATAGTAAATAGATTCAATAAATTTTGTTTTGGAAAAAAACATAGGTTTTTTAGTTCAAAAAAATAAATTCTTAAATAATATTAGATATCCAGAAAAAATCTTCTATATCCATATAGAGACATTCACACTCACAAAGGAAATTAACGATGAAAAATTAAATATATAAGATTATAAAATATAATATTAAGTCCTAAAAAAATTTAATTTACATATCACATGCCTAATTAGTGTTTAGTTGATTTTTGGTTTTGCATGATTTAATACTTGTTCTTTATGTTTTTTCACTTTTATTCAAAATTGGGAGATGTACCTGGAATTTGACAAATAATATAATTTTGTCATTGTGTTTGTATTTTCTTTATTTTTAAAAATTTTGACTACATACTGGTACTTGTTTACTATTTCTTACCTAATTACATTTTTCTATCAATACCCATATTTTTCCTCTAAATTAATTAATAATTCACAATTTTAGTTTGACCTATAACTCATAACATTGCAAATTATATTACTTCTTATGTAATTTTTTTATGACTTTTTGTAATTAGAATTTGATTTTAGGTAAAAAATTTGCATATTTATTTTGAATAATGTGTTTGAATCATTCCGATGTATTTATGTTAGTTTTATCAGTCAGTTAAATTATATTTAAAAGAATTACTCAAATTCTAACTTTGTATTTGTCCTTTGCAGATTGTCGAAATTCAACATATTGAAGGACCAAGATGGGCTTCGGCCAAGAGATGGAAGGATGTGGCCGCTTTATGAAATATAGCATGATTTTGACAAATGTGTTAATATTTGTAAGTAATTATCATTGAAATCGATAATAAGTTGGAAATGCGTTTTTTATTCATTTTATTTGTCATATATGATCCTCTAAGTTTTCGCGGATTCTATTTGTATTGCTTAGAATCAATTGGGAATTACTTAAAAAAGTGCTAAAAATAATCATTTTGAAGATAAAAATAGGTTTGATATTTCCAATCAAATTACTATATTTATATAGAGATCGTACGATATTTTGAATCTTGTACCAATATAGTACAAAACAAATATTAAACGCCCATTGAAATAATATTCACTTTAAGCAAACGTGTCGACTATTCTAGAGAAACTTTCGATTTTTATTGAGCAATTTTCAAAGTTTGTATTGATTTTGTTCGAAAATTTAGGTTTAATAAGTGAAACAAAATAATTCTAAGTCGATAGGTCTTGAACCTTTGATCTTTATTTAGAAAAAGAATTATTTTGAATTTCATGTAAGCCATACCATCTTCCATCCACTTCTAGCTTATTTTTAAAAAGTATACAGGTTATACTATATATATTTATATTTATATTTATATTTATAAAGTATATTTTCAAGCCATAATTCATATATTTTTTGCAAACAAATTATCATTAACTTTCTCAATAATCTTATATTCTTAAAAAAATAGTGAAATGTTTAGAATTAATATCACAAGCAATTGTGTTGAATTATTAATTTTAAAATTCTTAAAATAAATTATTTTTAATATTTCATTTAATAAAAGTACCAAGATTTGCATAATTTAAATGTTAAAATGATATTTAAAAATTCAGAAGTGATTTTTAGGAACATTTATAACTTTAAGTTCTGTAGTTTCAAATCGTCATGAATCTGAATTTTTATTTTCTAAAATTAATTTATTGTTAGCTTCTGAAAATGTATTTTAAGAAGTACTTATTTTCATTGAGTAATTTTTTTCAATTTCCTTTTTTATTATATCATGTAACGTTTGCGGTGAATATAATTGAATAGAATATTTTATTTAATTATCACTTGTAATTTATTAATAAAACATAGTTAAAATTATTAAATGGACTAATGGAAGAGAATCTGGTTATTATTTTTCACAACAATAATGTGACCTCATAATTCTCTCAAGTCAAACATGTACAACAATATCACACAAATAAAGGTCGAGAACAAATATTTGACAGTAATTCATTTTAATATTAAAAAATTACACTTTTGCTTTGTGGAAAATTATCCGATGACGTAGAAGTTGATGACCTGAAATATTATTTTTACTAAATAAATTTAAAGAACTTATGTTCATGATCAAAGCGCAGATTCTAATTGATATCACAGCAATATATTAGACCTTTTAATTATTAAAAACTAATTCTTTCACCTGTGATAGAAGAAAATTATTTTTTTAGATATTTCTAAACTCTATTTTTAGAACAGTTTTATAGTAAATAACTTACTATTGCAAATAACTTATCATAGCAAAACATTAAATTATTTAATGTTTATGATCTCTTTTTTCCATTTACAATTAAATAGCAATCGGAATACATGCATTTAATAAGATATTGGGATCTAATTGAACTCAAGAAATGTAATGATGATTCAATTGCGTAAATTGTATATAAGTATTTAATGGATGAAGTCCCAAAATTCATAATTTGCTAAAAAGACATTCATAAATTATAAAATCATATATATGTTCAAAATTTCAATAAAATCTCGTTGATTCAATTGTCATACATATATTTAGAATCAAAATTAGAATTAGAATTATGATGGAAATATCAATGTTATATTTTTGCAATTAAAGATATATACATTAAATTAAATGATAACATGTATTAAATTGAAATACATGTATTAAATTGATAACAGAGTAAGCAAAAACACATAAGAGTAACGGATTATGCTATTTTAATATTTGTTACTTTACAAGTTCACTATTTCTCGATTGCAATTCTAATTAGTATTGATTAGTCTTAAATTTAGTTGCTCGACTAACAAATATCTTCGTAATTAACGGCTCTTTTTAAAAATTTAAAAACTATTTGCTAAAACTAAATTGCTGTTGACTAATTTAATTATTTTCACATATCGGGAAGTTTGTACAACTAGCCTAAATCAAGTCCTTTACGTCAGTAAGTGGTTAGAGTTTTGACCTTTTTAGAAATTCTAGTTGGATACATGCTTCGGACATACTGATGTCAAGCAGTGCTAACATTAATGCATGGCAATATGTTTCCAAGTAAAAATAGTCCTGCTTTCAATAAAAGCAATCACAACAAAAACACTAGATATTGGTTATTCTAATAGTCAATTATTTAAAAATATAGGCAAACTGTTAGCTTTACATCTCTTCGCCATCGCCACGACATCAAGTCAGCACAACAAGTTTTTTTTTATTTTCTTAAAAGTTACAATCTGTCTATATAGAAAGACATTATTGAGTAATTAATTTGACAAATAACATAAAATTTTGAAAAGAAAACCCAGTGGTTCACTTTTTAATAATGTACTAAATTATGTCCTAATTTAATTTTGGTATTATAACAAGTTTATTGTAAGATTAAATTTGAGTTGATATTATATGCAAAATGATGCTTAAGCTTTTTCTAATTTTCTTATTTTCTACTAGCTTGGAGGTGCTTTATGTTTTGGTCTTGGACTCTGGACAGTGCTAGATCGAGGATATTTGAACGAATTGCTGGGATCAAATTTGTTCGCTGGAGCAGTTTATGTTTTGCTGGCAACTGGTGCCATTGCCTGCTGCGCGGCCATTTTTGGGTGCATAGGAGCTGCAAAGGAAGTGAAATGCGTACTATTAACGGTAAGTCAAATATTATCAAATTATACTATATTAAATTACATACATTGGCATTTATTATTAAGATTTCAGGTAACCTTCGTAAAACGTGGTAGTTACGATCCTAAAATACCGTGTTACGAAAATCCGCGTTATATGAAACAAAAAAATACAAAATTTTTCGTCATAACAATAAGTACTATTTAACGTGAGATATTTTCTTTTGGCAAGATATTCTGATGCTCTGAGACTTTATCAATATTACCTCTAAATCCATGCTCCATTTTTACTAAAATATTTGTTATTTTCGATTTCTTACCTTTAGTGAAAGATGTTCATTTATCTTCATTTATGAAATATTACATTTTTCGATAGAACGTACGCTTTGAAATAAAAAATGTTAAACGAGGTACTTTTGCACTACTTTTATCGTGTTCATTGAGCTGTTGTATAGTGACTTCACTAATTTTAAATTAGATAAAATTTGCTTTTAGTAGTTTTTATTATACATTTTTCATAGTTTATTAGAGTTTTTCTGAATTCTCAAAATATATAAGTGAGCCCGTGCTATAGCAGTACCGTGTTGTAAAGGAAGCGTCTTAATTCTCAAATTTTATAGCACATTATGTTATAAAAATACCATGTTATGCGGGGGTAACCTGTATTTGATAACATTTTCAATTTTAGTAATATTCGCGCTAATTTTAATGAAATATTAGTGTACTGTTAAGGATGTACTGTTAGTACATCCTATACTGAAATTTATTTCAAAATCTTATTTTTTTTAAATTAAACAATTGAAATGGAGTAATATTTTTTTCATAAATATAAACTAAAGATCAGAAAATCAAAGAACTGGTGTAAATAGGGTTAGATTACTGAACTTGTAGTACCTCCTAAGGAAATCATCTTGTAATATTTAGTGCACTTAAAATGAAGCAAAAACTTTCTCATTTAGTAAATCTCATATTTGCAAATGCATATTGACGTTTAAAGGCGTATAAGCACAATTGTTAGCATAACACATAAAATAAAATAATAATATCAACCCACCCCAATTGATTCTACATAGTAGTTTTTCCTTGAATTGTTAGATGTCAATAGGTAGTATTTTTAGCAGAAAATACTAATATCAACCCATCCCAATTGTACTGCATAGTAGTTTTTCCTTGAATTGTTAGATGTGGATTGGTAGAATATTTAGCAGAAAATACTAATATCACCCTATTCCGAATGATTGTAAATTGTAGTTTTTCCTTGATTATTAGATGTAGATAGGTAGAATTTTTAGTATCTAGTATCTAGTAGTATTTTTAATATCAACCTATCCCAATTGATTTTACATAGTAGTTTTTCCTTGAATTGTTAGATGTGGATTGGTAGAATTTTTAGCAGAAAATACTAATATCAGCCTATACCGAATGATTGTATATTGTAGTTTTTCCTTGAATTATTAGATGTAGATAGGTAGAATTTTTAGTATCTAGTGTCTAGTAGAATTTTTAATATCAACCTTTACATAGTAGTTTTTCTTGAATTGTTAGATGTAGATAGGTAGTATTTTTAGCAGAAAATTAATATCAACCAATTTCAGTTGATTCTAGATAGTAGTTTTTCCTTGAATTGTTAGATGTGGATAGGTAGAATTTTTAGCAGAAAATACTAATATCAATCCATCCCCATTGATTCTTCATAGTAGTTTTTCCTTGAATTGTTAAATGTGGACAGGTAAAATTTTTATCGTATTTACGCACTAGAGAATATGGTAAAGTTTAAGCTACTTCTAAGCAAAAAGAAATCAATTAATGTGTTAACAGCTATGGTTAACAGTATGTTGGTTCTAGAACTGGCCTGGCAAATTTCGATTCGTCAATTTAGTAAGATTTGATTCCATTTCATCAAATTTTAACTTGACAAACTGACATAGTGACTCAAGCCATGACGTCAAATTAAGTCACCTATTCTTCGTATTTCTTTCTCAAGAAAAGTACTGACTGATCCGACCTTAACTTGTCAATCCGACCTTCGATTGTCGATATGGTCTTTATTAACAATAGTATGCATAATAATTTTTTTTTTTTGCGAATTCCATGATTCACACGGCTTGTTATTGAAATTCTTTATATAAATGTCCGGCGCAATTACCTCTAGGGCAGATTGTTTGTATTACATGTCGTGCTCGGAAACAAGGTGTCCTTCGACGACTGATGTCTTTTCTGCCATTGTTCCAACGAGAACTCGATGTACAATCGCACACAAAGGTTCAAATAATACAGGATTTAAAGATATTTAGAAGTTCATCATCATTCATTCATTTGATGAAGTATAATAACTATTTGATTATTGCAATTGTTTAAAGCTGGGATTTACCGACTAAGGTCTGCGAGTTACAAGTATTTCTTTAGTACTCGATGAAAGAAATAAAATGAAATTAATTTGAAAGTGATTACTATTAAATCGTATATGATGGCGCATATAATTATTTTGTCGATGATATCATCGTCAATATTTTCAATTCCAATCGATTTAGTTTGTTTTTAGTTTTTTTTTAACTTTTCAAACAAAATAATTATATATAGTGTTCATCCCAATCACTTAACACATAAAGAATGTCTGGCAACACATCTAATAATCAGATCTTTAAA